TCAGGTTGTGAGAGCAGTTTCCTCTTCACTACTGTATGTTGAAGCTGGGTAACTAATTGTTTCTCAGGTGGTGTGGATGTAGGTCTTCTGTCCATCCATAGTTCCCTCATACGTTTCATATATCCCCTCTCATTAGGTCTACTGTTGTAGTAGCATTCCATCAATTCCAAGTCCTCTTGTCTCATTCATGTATGGTTTGTTTCAGTAGCCCACTTATTGTCAAATCGTCCTGGTTCCCCAACATCTGATGCAGACCTTGGTAATCCAGGCGACATCTGAGCAGGCATGACTCTCTTAGTTCGTGTCACTCTCATATTTGAGGTAGGCAAGTTAAGTGTTAGGGGGTCTTTGCCCAAGGACCCCTACTGGTATGGTAGGTACCAGTTGGGGTTTGAACCCCTGTTTCCTGCGTCAAAGGCAGTGCTCTAATCACTACACTGTCCAGCCTATCTATCTATCTATCTATCTATCTATCTATCTATCTATCTATCTATCAAAAGGGAAAAAATCATAAAATTAACTGGGTTTATCACTCAGTTTCTGCATTTTGCAATGACATAGTAGACATTAATACCAGTTAAGGTAACCGAATCATAAATATCTAAAAGTAAAAATGGTAACTAACATTTATCAGAATGACTGGGAAATTTGCTTAAATGCAGGGTTATCAACTCTGTGTGCCAGCATAAAATAGGCAATTCAGTGAAATGTGTTTAATGGTGTCCGTAGCCCCTTTGCTACATGGGCAAAACCTTAGCCCAAATGGGATACCTTTGTATTCTCCTTCTAGGACTGCATTAGGAAGGATGTCAATTCAAGCCAAGGAGAATGCCCTCCTATATTTAGGAATTTTAATTTTACTTAAAAATGCCAGGTGTCAGGTCTATGATGTTCAAATCCCAGTGAAGAAAAATCTCTTGAAACCTGAGTCATGTTCAAAAAGAAATTCATTTACTGAGATGTACATACAGCTTCAAAGCATTGCTGAAACTAAAAGCCCGTGCTTCCCAATCTACTTTTACCCTCACTTCTTAATCCCCCCTCTCCCCAGCTAGTTCTTGGTTCTCATGTTGGTATGACCTTGGACATTCCTGGCCCTAGATAACAGTCCATCTGTGTTAACACTTTCACCTTCATTGTTCCCCTCTCCCCCCTAGTGAAAAATGGCAGAAACGAAGCAAGCAACTAGCGAACTGATAGATTGATTGCTGGAGGTTCTGACACCAGGTCTAATTAGATATCAATATCCTTAATTTGCCACCTCAACATTATTATTGTATGCTCATACCCAAATGTACAAAGTTGGGTTAATGAAAATCCAAGGAGCTCTCATTTTTGCCTACAGTATTTCTTTGGACCAAGATGACCCAAAGTAAGGATCTGAGATGTCAGACCTACAGAGACAAAGTATATTTTGGCTTAATGAGAGTCATACTGTGACTCGGCTTACCCCTAGGCTATTAACTTAAATATGATTGCCTACATTCCATCTTTATCCTTACTTGATACTAAAACTTATTGAACTTAAGAAGGGAGCATTTCTGAGCAAATATGCATCAGATTGTTCTGATAAAGCCTATCCTGTCTTATCTTCTGAGCATTCTCCTTTTCAAATAAGCCATTTCTTGATGAAAACATTGGGTTCCCCACTCCTCTTGATTGCCTTTATTCCCATTCTTCTTTTTATATCAACATTATATTTGGTGACAACACACTAAATGTGTAACTCCTTAGTAGTCTAGAAATAGATATTTCTCAAACATGCTTATTAGAAAATTAATCAGGATTTCTTTTAATGGCAGCTTCTTGTGTAATGTAGTTTTAGAAAGGTAAGCTCTTTGTTTAACCTAAAATGTGATTTACTAACAGTAGAGTCTGATTTCAAGTTCTTTGTATTCTCTGTGTTCTGGGAGAAAGCTGAGTTGATCACATTCCCTTTAGCAGTCAACCATCTAAAAATGGATGTAAAAGAACGTGGAGTCTAAGCAAAGTTATACCGTACTCACATGCTAGAATATGCTCAGACAAAATGCTGATTGGACTCTGCCCTTTGGCACATTTTGAGTTGTTGGAATCATTGTATACACAATTGGCTTACATTTCACAAAGCAATCACTCTAGATTTACACTTTCATCTATTTATATAGAATACCATAGAAACCAGTCTTGCTTGCATAGACTCTGTTGCTGTTCTATTAATATTTTTGCTCTCTGTGGGTTTGAATAATTTAATTTACTGTGCTAGTTTATACTTGATGTATACACAATTGGCTTACATTTCACAAAGCAATCACTCTAGATTTACACTTTCATCTATTTATATAGAATACCATAGAAACCAGTCTTGCTTGCATAGACTCTGTTGCTGTTCTATTAATATTTTTGCTCTCTGTGGGTTTGAATAATTTAATTTACTGTGCTAGTTTATACTTGAGCAACTAGCTTAGCATGATTTTTATTTCAAAACATAGTTTTGCATTTGGACTATTTATTCAAAGTCTAAGGAAAATGTACAGCTTTAAAGGACTAACGCTATGTATTGGATGGAACACAAGCAATCTTGCTCCTGTTTGTCAGGATTTTTCAAATCTTACAGCTGCTATAGGTGAGAATAGCTGCTATTCTATGGCTGTTGCTCTGATCAGACACCAAAGCATTTAGAAAGTCAGTGATCATATGCAGCCAGAAAGTGTCCACAGAATGGAGGTATTATAGTTTGAAAATATATCAGTATTCCAACATTTTGGCCCAGTAAGGAACTGAGTTTCATAGAGGGGTTTCCTATGGTTGTAGCATCTAAGCTGGACAAAACAGAGTTGATGAGATACAGGGTAACAAGGTTGGAATGCAAACAGGTTAACAGAAGAAGACAGCATCACAGGAAAAAAATAATCTGTGATAGTAAAGGCTTTTAACAAGCTGTACTGCATCCAGTAATAATTAGATTGTTACTGTGCTATAGAAATCTATACTGAAGGATGTTGACTATGTGAGACAATATGGCAAAGTAAGTAATGCTATGTAGATATCTCCTACTGTGTTTGATGGGGGAGGGGTTATATCAAAACTTGCAAACCTGACAGTATTCCTGTTGACTAAAATTCTTCTGTCTTAAAACTATGAGTTGCTGTTTCATGGCAGAATACAATATGCCTTACTGTATTTTGCCATAATGCTAAAGAAGTAGATGAACTTTAAAGTTACATTTACATGTGATGCCTAGCAGAAACACCCATGCTTGTATCATGGGATCAATCATCAACCAAGAAGGGTTGACTGGACTGCATTCTCCATAGTATCCAGCAGGATGTGCAACCTGAGACCCCACAGCTGCATGGAGTCACACATTCTCAAGAATCCCTCCCAGAGTTTCAACTGTATTACACTTTTAAATGGAAAGTCTGTTGGGAGTATCACACAGGCTATGCTTAATTTAGGTAATTTTTAAACCAATTTTATTTTTATTGGGCCCTTCATTTTTAGGAGTATGACACTTATTATGTCACCCAAAGATGAAATGTGGGCCTCAGCCCCCCAAAAGACTGGGCTCACCAGATGTATAAGCTAAAGAATCTATTTTTTATAACATGGGCACAATATAATCTTTGTGCAGGTTCTTTAATTCCTGTTTTAGGGTTGTAGCATATTTTAAAGAGGGCTTCTAACATGCCCATTACAGCAATATTGTCTTTCTCCTTCCTTTCTTTTTTCTCAGCTTAGAGTTTAGAGCTGAGCCCTACAACATTTGAAAGTATTTTGAATTTCAGTTGGACTATATTTTACTGCCCTGTTTCAATTTTTCAGATTTTTAATTGCACTCAGGTTCAAGCTAAGAACTTCACTGTGTAGCTCCATTTTGTTCACAAAAAATATAGCCCCTATATGAAAGTCAAAACTTAAAACCTGTGCACCTCATGTAGAGGTGACTTAGTACCTTCTTCTTCTCAATCAATAAATGGATCCCTTTAGAGAACTAAATCCATAGAAAGAACCTATGAAACCTGCTGGGTGTGTATATAGCACTTGAATACATTGGAAAAGCACATATCCACCATTCTTTAATGAAAACTGAAAGAGTACAAAAATGAATCTTTTCTATCATCCACTATACGGAATTCCTTTCTTTGAGCAGCTCTTGAAATGTAGGATTCACTATTAGATGAGAACTTTGTAAAAAAAAAAAAAAAAAGATTTGTAGAAACATTGTTTTCTGATCAGGAGGCCTTTGCTGCAGATTAATATAATCCTTTTCATTATCTAGTGTTCTCAGTTTTTGGACTGAATATTTACTGGTTAAGCCAGCTATTGGGGACTCACCACAGCTATGCCATGTTAACTGTGTAGAGATTGTTGTTCTCTAATCTCAAAATGGACATTTCCTTCTGTAGGAGCATGACATCGAGACAGCTTATGGAGTTGTCCATGTCACTATGCGGGGCACTTCAAAGGGAAATCGACCAGTCATCCTTACATATCATGACATTGGCCTCAACCGTGAGTCCTTTTTTTCTTCGTGTTTTCATATGCTGACTCAGTGACTGTAGTTATATTCACATTTTCAGAATAGAAGAGTTTGATGCAAAGCAGTTCTTTTAATTTGCCATGACCACAGTACAAAACATGAACCTTATCAGTCTTAACTTACAGTTACTTCTTATAGAAGTAAAGATCAGGGAATGGAGTGGTGCTATCATGGTCATTCTGTGGGTTTGTCCTGCAGATAAGTCCTGCTTCAACACTTTGTTCAATTTTGAAGACATGCAAGAAATCACACAACACTTTGCTGTGTGCCATGTTGATGCACCTGGACAACAAGAGGGGGCTCCTCCTTTCCCCTCTGGGTAAGTGTAGTAATATTCCTTTGATCCAGAATGTTTAGAATTGAAATAGAAAGGGAAATAGCCAGATTTCCAGTATTGGCCTATGTAGAGAATCTTTCCTGACTTGGAAGAGATAGAAAATACAAGTAGGAATGATGCCATGGGTGATAGTATGTAGATTTACTGCTGGTAGGATAGGACTTTTGGCCTCTCGGTTGAATGCCTTTTGATCAGCACAAATCCATACTCTAATTAACCATGCCCTAGAATATGTTATTGTGGAGCTGTTGAAATCTCCTTGCAGGTATATATTTGATGAGTTAGCCTTGAAATAAAATTCCTTTATGTCAGCTTCTGGAGTCTTTTTTAACTAGCATCTTTTATGATTTCAGATACCAGTATCCTAGTACTGATGAACTCGCTGAAATGCTTCCTGCTGTTCTTATGCACCTGAGGCAAGTATGCAGAATAACCCCGACTTTCCTTTATTTAAAAATCACAGATTCTAAATAGCCTTTCCTTGATGCTTGTCCAGAAGGAAGAGGAACAACTGTGATCATATTGCATAAAAGCAAATGCTTGTAAAGTTTATTCAGATGCCATGTATAGAATCTTTCTTATTCCTTACCACAAATCATGTGAAAGAGAATTGTATAAGTGATGTGCTGTTAAGGCAACATAATCAACACGATGGGACCTGCTGATGGAAAGGGTACTGAGAGATTCTCTTCATTTTAAACTCTTTTTCAGCTTAAAAAGTGTAATTGGAATAGGAGTTGGGGCTGGTGCTTATATCCTCAGCAGGTTTGCGGTAAGTAGCATTTGCTTTGCTCATTTCCTTGTTTGAACAAATTAAGTCTCTCTAGGCTACAGATGTCCATTTAGAATCCAAACCTTGGAGTGATGTATGCAGCAGTGAGCAGAACATTTTGCCAATAGTGGCAAAAACAGACTCATTCTCTGGGGGAATGAATGCCATAAAATGTTGAGTAAAGTTGAGGAAGTTAATTCAAGATTATGGTTATCACATTGTTATAAAGAAAAACAGTTAGTGCATCATCATCTCATAAAAAAGAGTGCATTTACTTTTGAAAGCCACTGTAAGCTTGCAAACATTCCCTTGCATTTTAAGCTGCGTTCCCTAACACCATGGTGGCTACCTTAAAATTATGCTTTAGTCATTCCTTTTCATTCATAGCTTATGTATTATTATTAGATTATTTTGTACAGCTCAAGGTGGCATACATAATGCTTCCCACCTCTTATTTCCCCACAATAACATGTGTTTATTTCCTATGTTTATATATTTATGTACTATATTTATATACTGTCATAATTAAAAAACCAGCGCTCAGCACAAATAGCCAGCGTAGTAAAACTTTAATATTTTCCATTCTCTTTTTAGTTGAATTATCCAGACTTGGTAGAAGGCTTAGTGCTAATTAATATTGATCCATGCGCAAAAGGTTGGATAGATTGGGCAGCATCCAAGGTAGGATGAAACTGTCTGTTTTATAACCAGGGTGATAATATTGATCTGCCTAACTAGAAATTGAAAAAACACTGAATAAATGTTTGTTTTGGCCTACCTTTAACTCCTTTCCCTTTTCTAAACCCAAAGGAGGATGAAAGAATACAGAAGTGGAGTTATTGGTCTGACATACTGAAATGTATTTTAATATCTTTTATGTAGCAGTACTATAGAGCTTCTCAGCCATAAAACTGGCCTTGGGTCAAACAGTGCATGATTTAGAGAGAACATCTGCATGTATTTCTAATACTGGAATTACACATGGATGAAACAAGCATGTGAAAAAGAAGGATGTGTTAATACAGAACATATTGAGCAGTGCCAATATGTAAGTTTATTTTGGGTTTATTTTTTCAGTTTTCTGGGTGGACAACTAACCTTGTGGATATTGTTCTGGCCCACCATTTTGGTCATGTAAGTTAATTACAAGATTTTATACTAAAAATGCCAGTGAATATAATGAACCTTAAATATAATAATGAACTGTTCTTGTTCTTAGCTGCAGGAGTTGTTTATAAGAATGCTTATGCTTTCGTAATTTTAAGTGTTATTCCTAAGCTAGGTGTGACAGCAAGTCTATGATAGGTAGTAAATATAAACCAGATCCCGGGACGTCTGCTGGTGTATTGTTTTTAACTGCTTGTAGTCTGCAGCGTCCATTGCCTTCTTGGTTTTTACAGGGTCCCTGAAGCATGCCTGCTTTTTTTTAATAGTATGGTTAACCAGACAATTATGATATTTGTCATTCACCAGGAAGAATTGCAGGCTAATCTTGAGCTAATCCAGACATACAGGCTTCACATTGCACAAGACATCAACCAGGAAAACCTTCAGCTCTTTGTCACCTCCTATAACAGGTATGTGTCTATTTTAGGTCAGCATTGAAAACTTTTATTTTCTCCACTCTAGTTTTGAAAGTATAAATAATGCTTTAAGCAGCAAATAAGGCACATTGAAAGATCAGTATGTTAAAAGTGTTCCGCAGTATTTATCTTTAATTTCAACTGTAGAGAGCCTGAAAGGTAGTTCAGGGAAAAGATCTTATCAAATTCTTTTTCTTGCCTTAATTTCCAGTTTTATTACCATTACAGATAAAATGGTAACAACAAAAAAAAGATCTAAGACAAGAAAAAGATTTAATGCTGTAGATCTTTTCCCCACAACAAAATCCCTTGCAATTATTTCATATTTTTCTACTTTCTTGTTTATGAAAAGAGGAAGCACATGAATATCCCTTTACAAACAGGGTATATTTAGAAAGGGCCCCTCCATCAAGCTAGACATATGAGTTCCAAATCAGATGCAATGTGAGAGATCCATGATCTGTTCTCTCAATGCCTTCTCTTCAAATATTTATATTTATTTATATTTGAAATGTTTGATACTTTAACATATGTGGTCCCAGTAGTTTTTAAAAACTACCTTTAAAAAATTAGAAACTCTTGGGACATCTGATCCTACATATCCCACATTATATGTTATTTAACAAGGGTAATAAGCATATATTACTCCATATCGTAAAACATTGATGGCAATAATTATGGGATTAGAACCATTTAATCACCAGTACTGACAGAACTAATACTGAGATTAGTCCCATACTTTTTGTCATCAAGGTGCAAAACTTCAATAGTTTTATATTCTTGCCCATCATAGTAGTCACAATCCAATGACACAAGATTTCTGTTCTAGCCAGTGCTTCCCAACCTGTTATTGATCTTTTATTTATTTATGAAGCTTCTATACTTCTTCAATCACAATAGACTCTAAGCAGTTCTGTCTTTTCCTTCAAGTCGTAGAGATCTGGATATTGAAAGACCAATCTTGGGTATGAATGAAGAAGCAGTAAAAACACTCAAGTAAGATGCTCTTGGCTAACTTTGAACCATATTGCTTGAGACTGGGTGGATTTTTTATTTTTTTTTGGCCTATATTTCTTTCTGTTGGGAAAGCTTGCCTCCCTTCTCTCACCCTTTCCAATGTTTTTGATAGACCTCTTTAGTAGCAAGCCAAATAACCTTTGAGTTATTGGTCTTGTGCCCAGCTTTTTTTTCCTAATTGTATTCCATCAGAACAATTGCCTTTTTTATATATAATTATATTACATATGCACATGTGTGTGCACTGCAGACACATACAAGACATATGTGTATTTAAGCTGTGAGCATAAAAGCAACTCCTCGGTTGAGTAGAGCCCCTTCCTTCCCTCTGAATAAGGCTTTCCAGCATGAGGAACCTGCTTTTTTCTCTGCCTGGGCAATGAGCTGAGTCGCAGCCAGGCAGTATAGAAGAAGGGGGAAGGGGGAGGAGTTTGTTTATACAGGCCTGATGAGGTAATCCAGCAGGTGTTTTCTCTGTAGGCTTCTCTTTGTTGTCCTGTGGCATCTTCCTCAACGTTCTTCTCCAACTTTCCACCCCTGCCTTTTATTCAGAGCAGCCTTTACGTTTAGCAGGCACTGAATCTGTTCATACTGTGGTGCTATGGCCTTCTTATAAGAAGGCTGGTGTTTTCCCTTTACCACACCCAGTGCTGCTGCCCCCTCAAACCATCTGTGTAGAACATCTTGACAGCTGGAACTGATGCTGTGATATGTGTTGAAGAATTTGAGGGCTTTATGCCCAGTGTGTATTAGTTTATATATTGTAAAGAAATGCTGAGCAAGACTGGATGACTTGCTTCATAAGGCTTGGTCCTCATTGAAATGAATGGGGTATGAGCATGTTGTGATGCCCATATGTTCTGGTTTACTATTGCATTATTAAAACATGTGATCCTGATGTTAGAATGATCACATTTATAAAATATTAAAAAAGCAGGATTTTGACAACAGAAGATGATGTTAATGCTAATCAGGTACATCCATAGGGAAAATCATGGAATGGCAAATGATGAAAGCATCATGCCATTGCCACACATGCTCCACACCTTTTGTACATAATCATGTTGCACACACGTAGGAAAGGGATGGAACTTGCATTGTGATAGCACATCATTACTTTCAGCATTTTGACAAAAGCTTTGGAACCCAGTGATGATTGTACAGATTATAATGCTAACTGTGACTTTTATACAGGTGCCCTGTCTTACTAGTAGTTGGAGACAGCTCTCCTGCAGTCGAGGCTGTGGTAAGTAAGCCTAATCATTAGCTAGTCATTTCCTTAACTCTATCTTGTTTGTTATTTCAAGGCTTTTTCAAATTTTCCTTTGCTGGAGGAAGTAGAATTTTCTAAATGTGAAATTTGCTCCATTTAAAGCTTGTGGGTAAATCCTCTACATTCTTAATAATACACAATCACAGTTTGATGTAGGCAGTTTTCTATATTTTAAGGTATAAGATGCAAGCAAAGGTTCCAGAAAGGAGGAATCTCAACAGTCATTAGTGTAGGTATCTAAAGAAGTTGGAATGTTCCCTGCAAAATGGTAATAATGGAATATTTGTCTTCAGAACCACATGGCACTTTGTGATTTTAATGGAGACGCTCTGTATTGTATGATTTCCTGTTTTCTTCTTTAGGAAAAGGTTTAGTCCTCAGGTTGTACATAGGCAAAGCAGACACCAAGAACATCTCAGAAGGAGTTGGCTATATGAATTGGATTTGTCACTTCCTAAAGGTTTAGGGATTCTTTCTCTCATTCACATTTGGCTCTTCAGGTTGTTCTGGGCAGATTACATGGGATTTTCCCTTTTTTTTTCTTGATAACAACCTTGTAAAAAAATAGGTTGTAAAAATAAAGACATGCCCAGTGAATTTTTTGGCCGAGTGAGGATTGAATACAGTTCTGAGTCCAACATGCTATTTGCCACTGTGGCTGTCGATGGCTTATTGAAAGCTGACCTACTGGTGAAGCAGGCCGGTTTGTTCTAGCAGTCAGATGCTGAAATGAAGCTGTTGTTACAGGAAGGACAGGAATATTGTCTTTAAAATTAGTGACTGTAACTATAGCATTTCAGTTTTAAGTCTTTCACTTCAAATAAATATATTTTGTTGCTGCTGAGGCATTGGTTTCTTAGGGAAGACTTTGAATTATAGTCAGTTTTTGAGACACAAATATATATATGCACACACTATCTTGTGTTTCCTAGGTTGAATGCAATTCACGTCTGGATCCAATAAATACAACACTCCTAAAGGTAACCAGAAATTAAGGACACCTGTGATGAGAGGTGATCTACTACAGTCCTGTGGGCCTTCTATAAAGATATTTAGGAATATATACCTGTTTACAGCCTTCCAGTATGAGGGACGAAAAACAGAAATAGCTGATCTAAATGTAAAAAGAAGTTGGGAGCTGAACAATGTGGCTGCTTAGGGTACATTTTCAACTGACAAGGTTCACAAATCTGTTTCTTCCACCTTAAAAAACAAGTCCTGATATGTTATTTACTCCATCCTAGTAGGTATGTATAAGGATGGATGTATATGCATTTATGACATGTTTCATATATTTTGTTTTTTCCTTTTTTGCCAGTAAATTATGTCCAGTTGTCTCCCATTTTCATACACCAGGGACTTGCATTTTCTGAAAAATGCATTTTTTAAAACTATTTGTGCTGGGAAAAAGAGGTTTTGCCTCTGTATAATGCTGTGACAGAATTGATGGATTCATAGCCCCAACTTTTTATTTTAATTTGACCATCCTTTTGACTGATTCTAAATCACTTTTTCTCTTGCAGATGGCTGATTGTGGGGGATTGCCCCAAGTTGTCCAGGTAAGCACTTATTCTAGGCATTGTCAGAATTTCATGTATCTAAAGGATATCCATCTAATCTTTTATTGCAATTTTTAATTTTTATTGCAATTTTTAAAAAACAGAAAGAATATGTAATATCTAACTAATTAATTAATTATGAAATACCAAAATGAACAACAAAGGGAAAAATAGAAAATTAAACAAACAGGAAAAAATCCTGAAAATTAACAAATTGATATAAATCACCCAAGTATATCACACATTCATTTAATCATATAATAACAATGTCTCAAATTGTGCATAGATACTTGCCTATAGTTCTTTATTATTTTTCTTTTTCAGCCTGGGAAACTAACTGAAGCTTTCAAATATTTTGTGCAAGGAATGGGTTACAGTAAGTGATAATAGACTGCCTTTGCATTATGTTCCATTTAGAGACTACTAAGTGACTGAGATAATTTATTTTTCAATCATGGATCCTGTTCTGCACTTTCATACACATTCCTGTACTGGAAGACAGCTTTGTCTACCATACTAGGACATTTGTACAGGAGGATTAACCATCAGTTGTTGAATTACAGTTCTGCCTTTTAGCAGTTTGTTCTCTGTTGAATAGATTTGGATCTTTCCAGTTTCCTAAATGTTGTTTTGAAGACAGGAAGATCCAACCTGTGCTTAATATAAAAGTCCATCATTACAGTTTTTGCTACCAATAACTTTATTGGCAGAGGTACTGCATAAGGCTGTTCTTAAAATGTCAGTAATATGTACAGTACAGTAATATGTATGAGCATTTTTTCTGACATGAAAATTAATATCAGGTTCAGTAAAAGTCAAACAATTGAAACTATATTTGTAAGTTGCCCAAAATGTTCTTTATTGTTTTACTAAACAACTCTTAGTGTTATAGAATTAAAGATATGGAAAAGCTTATGACCAAGCAAGGCTTACATTGTCTCAAGCTTGTTATAACTACACTAACTATGTTTCCCATTCCCTCTCTTATCTCTGCTTCCAGTCCCTTACATGCAGCTCAGTCACCTGAACACTGAGTCAGGTATCTACAAGTATATGTCTGGTTGGGCTGAGTTCATTTTTCTTATGCATTATGCCGCTTACAGCATGGCCAGGAGATCTTTGGCACTCTAGGCCATCCCATTGTACACTTTTTGTGTTATGGTTTTTTTAGTGGTTTCATTTGCATTGGTTTGACTGTTGCATGGTTTGCAGCTAGGTGGTGATCCAGGAATCAAGTGTATGGTTTCTAACTTTCTGAAAAAGCTTTATGGGCTATCCTTTCTCTGTGTGAGCAAAGTGATGCCTTATTTGCTTTTCAGCAGCAGCTCTCCTTTTCTTTCTACTTTGTTCCTCCTCCATAGAGGAGAGAGGACATGGCTGCTTTACCCAGAATGTTCGCTAGTTGACTGTGTCAGGGCATTCCCTGATCATAGGCTTGTACGTACACTTCACTTTCATATCTGAGAGTGGAATGATATGTTGGAGAAACACTATTCCTGACTCTTCCTCTACAAAATATGGAGGTGGATAGAGGGTGCTTGCAAGGAAGCACTTACAAGCAGAAAAAGTACAAAGTGAAAATTAAACTCAATTGGGAGGAAAGAGTGAAAAGGAATTTTATTGGCTAGCAAGATCTGAAGATGTGAAAGGGCTTAAGCTGTTTTGTGCATACAAATGTTCCTGCGTTTTATCACAGCAAGTACAGGTTAATGAGCTTTGAACAGAGTGGTGCCTTATTTGCTTTTCAGCAGCAGCTCTCCTTTTCTTTCTGCTTTGTGCCTCCTCCGTTTTAAGACTTTGTGAGGCAGTTAACATTTGTTATTTCTGGCATTCACTGCCTCTCTCCTTACAGTGCCATCCGCAAGCATGACCAGGTTGATCCGTTCCCGGACCCAGTCATCCTCAAGTGTAGGTTCGGGAGAAAGCACTCAAGCACGGTCTCAGGCCAACAACCTGAGGGAGGTAAACACTGGAAAACCTGAAACTACTGAAGTTCATGGCAATCCTCAGACTATGGAAGTATCCTGCTAAGCAAGCGTGTGAATCCAGACCATTCCTTTTCTCTCTTTCTGCACTCATTCGACAAGTGGCATTAACAGGTTTTTTTCCCCTCATTATACCTGCTAACTTTTCACCTGTCTCTTTGGTGTTATATTTAGTTATGTTTGTACAGAAACTTTGGCTGCCTACAGATGTACCTAAAAATAGCTGCTGGGGGTACAGGAGTTATTTTTGAGCTCTGATTTTCTTTGCAGGCTCTAGATCAAAAGCTGGGTCTCCTCTCTTGCCTTTCCCCCCTCCCCCCAAGCAGGCTGCCCATTTTGTTTTAATTCCTTCCACCTTTCCATCACACCTTCATATTTATCTGCTTGAAATATTTGGTGCTCTTTTAAAGGTGTTCCCTGGTGTGATGGTGGTGGTTTTGATTTCTTGAAAATGGCTCTTTGGTTCAGCCAGTTAACTCTGTGTGCAGAACCTTGCTCTATAAAGGGGAAGGGGGAGAAATATTTCATGGGTGATGCAAGGGCTTGCTAATTAATGCTGTATAAATCCAAATTTAGCTTTCTCTCAGTTAAATATGGAGAAAATAATGTGTGTGTCATAAATGTGGTAAATGCGCTTCCACAGTGGGCTTGCCACTGAAATTGTATACATCTGTATGCATCCATTAACTGCTAACATCCATTGGTGTTAGGCAAGATGAAGATGCCGTCATTTCCCCTGGCCTCCTGTGCTATCAAGTCATCTGAGAATAGTGTGTCTCTCCTGTCTTCTTGAAATTCAGATGATCATTTTTGTGGGGTTTTTTTTACTTAGAATTACTTTCTAGTGTGATTCTGCTGAAAGGTGTTAAGGCTCTTGACTGCAGTCCTAACAGTGTCTTTGGAGTTCTGGTTAAAGAGAACGCCTTTGATTCAGAACTCCAAGAGTGGATCTTGAATTCTGTTCTACTCTTGAGGAGATCCTAACATAATCCATAAGTTGTACAAGAGTTATATTTTTCATAGCTGAGCGGGGGAAAGGAAGGTCTTTCCTGCTGGTTTATTTAGCAGCATTTCTCAATAGGACAATTAGATTACAGAAAGAATGAGGTATCTAGCCAGCTTAATTCCCAATAAGGAGAGTACCACTATTCAGCTGTGAATAAAGGATTTACAAACTATAAAATAGCCAAAGTTGCATTATAGTGGATTTAGAAATAGAGCCAGATGATATTTAGGGTAACCCCCACCACCCTATACCAATTGTTCTTGAAGTTGAAAACAAATTCTGAAGTTGAAAACAAGGTACTAAGCTAAATGGCTTAATTTTCACAACTGTTCAGTTACAGTAACTTTCACAATAAATTATGCATCCTTTATAATTTCTAAAGGGAATTAAATGCAATGGTTCAGAAATATATCTGTAATTATTGAAATAAGATAAATTCTATTCTAATGAACAACTTAATTTTAAATTCCAGTTTTGAAGTAGTCAAGTGAGTAAGAAGACAGTGGTATGCATGTTGACTCTAAAGGAAACCTCATTGAGCTTAATGGGTTTCCTTCCCATCTAAGTGTGTATGCAGATTAATCTTGCCAAATAATCTTGAATGAATACATATAAAATGGCGAATTATTCATTCTGTACTTGCCAGACTAGCTCAACGGTGATTCATTATAATCCTGATTCTGTATCTGTGAAAGACCGTGTAGTTCTTTATATACATTTTCCCTCCACTCTTTTGGTTAAAACTAATATTTTACTATTGACTATACTAGCCCAAAAAATTATTCTGTTCACTTAGGAAGATAATACACACACACACACAGACCAAACATATATGCGTGCACACACACACAAATATATATGATTTGTATTCTGGTGGAAATAGATTAAAGTTAACGATTAAGTGCGCTAAGAATCATGCAGTTTGCAGTTTATGGAAATAACTTAAAAATCTGATTCACTGGGATTTCAGAATACAATTCTGAATAGAATATAGAATAGAATTAGCTCAGGATTTCTGAAGTCATAGCTAGTTTTGTAGCCTTTCTCTCAAGGAGATGCATTACTAAAATAAAAGGGAAATATCTAAACTGAAATATTTGTTCTACTTAGGTCATATAAGACTATTGTGTTTCATTTAAACACTAGTTAGGGGAATGCTTTGATGTACTTTACATTGTAAAAGCGTGCTCTGCTTATGGCCTGTATGTATATGTGTATGTATGTATCTGTGTGCTTGTGTATGTGTGTGTACAGACACACACACACACATACACACTCCATGGAATGATATTAAATTTAATTCCATGCTCCTGGTAGATATGGGAAGTTTTTGCCACGAGAATTAGGAAGTTCTTTCAAATTAGAAAGTTTGTTTTCTTGAATTCAGAATAATTTTGTTTTTCTGCTTTTACCTGGGAAACAGAAAATCTATGATCTGTTAGACAGTGAGATTGCTGCTATTGGGAAGAGAAATGCTGCTGCATTTTTCATGAAACTATGGCAGAATATCTACTTTTTACTGTTGCACATTTGTTTATAAGGCCAAGATCTTTAGGAGATGTCAGATTCAGTTCTGTTTCAGGTAGAAGAAGGGACTAAAAGATTTTGCCAGGGGGAAAATTCAAACCAGTTAAATAAAGTATAATCAATTTTCATTGTTAAGGTGGTTGTCTGTGTGCTTTTTTTCCTTTTGGCTTGTCTTATAAAGTACCCATTAACAGAGCATAGATCAATCTTGATTTACGATCGGCTGAATTCCAGAATGAACAATTTAGTTCCCCTGAGCTTAAAGACAGCACAAAAATTGAGAAGCTTGCTTTCTTTTTCCTCGCTGTAGGAAATTGACAACTAGTCTCTTGATAATTGGGGTGGGGGAATTGATACACAGTGAAGTTGGCTTTCATCAAACCAGAATGTGAAGGTCCTCTTAACTATGAGTGCCTGCCCTCATATTTAATGTATATATCTTGTTGATATGAATTGGCTTTCTATTAGGTTCAGGGCAAGCTCATATCTATGGGTTCATCCATTTAGTTATGCACACTTGCACATCCCCATGCATCCTCTCCAACCCTCGCTGCACCTCTTGCGCGCCCCCTCCCTCCCTCCCCCACCTGGCGGCAGTCACTTACCTGCCTGCTGGCCTTGGACTTGCAACTTCCTGCCGGCTTCCCCACTGACTTTGTTTGTGGGAACCTGGCAGGGAGCATCGGCAATCACGATCAAGTTTAGACTTCCCGCTGGCTTCCCCATTGACTTGTGGGAAGCTGTCAGGGAGTGTTGGAAATGATGATCTCCTGACCATGGCTGACTGCAGCAGCATTGGCCACAATTTTGCCAAATTTCAATCCTGTGGGAGTTTTGGGTCCCAGTTTTTGAATGCATTCTATAAATTAGCCCATTTGAGGTACCCTGGTTCAAAAAACTATATCAACTTATTGATAATTTTGGACCGTCTTCCTGGAACTGCTTGCTTCACATCATGCAACAATATTTCAATTGGCTTAAGGTTTGGGCTTCCGTTCCAAAGTGAGAAATGTCTTCTTTAGCAATTCCATTATAGATTTGTGTGTTTAGGACTGTTGTTGTGCTGCATGAGCCACACTTGTTTAAGTTTTAGTTCATGGACAGGTAACCCTGACATTCTCCTCTGGAATTTGCTGATAGAATCCAGAATCCATTGTCCTTTCAAGGATTGTGAACCATCTAGATTGTGAGGTTGCAAAATAGCCCTAAACCATGTTTCTCTCACCAGTGTGCTCCGTAGTGGAGATAAGGTTATTTTATTTGAATGCAGGGTATTGATTTCCTCAAACATAATGTGTCTCACTAATATAAAAAAAAATCTCCTTTCAATTCATCTATCCAAAGAACATTATCCTAATAGCCTGGTGGATTATCCAGGTGGTTTTTGGCAAAACTGAGACGGGTAGCAATGTGCTTCTTGGAGAGCAGTAGTTTCTTCCTTAGTATCTTCCTACACACACTGTTCTTTTTCAGTGTTTTTCTTATGATGCACTGATGAGCACTAACATCAGACAATGCAAGAATGATCTGTAGATATTTTGCTTTTACTCAGGGGTCAGAGGATTATACACTTTGCTCTTTAGATGATTTTTGTTGCATGACCATTCCTGGGAAGAGATAACAATGGTGTTTGTACACTGTCTGACCATGGATTGATGGAGGCCAACGTTTCTGGCAGTGACTTTGTAGCCCTTTCAACCCTCATGGGCATCGACAACACTTTTTCTGAGTTCAGCAAATATTTATTTTGATCAGAACGTGATTTACTTCCATAAACTTATAAGAAGTAAACTCTAATATTAGCAACCAACATTTTTTAATAGAGGAGGGTCCCTCTAATTCACACCCAATTGTCATCTCATTAACAGTATCATCTGACTCATCCCAGCCTCCTAAGAGAACTAATTATCCTTGGGCTTTGCATACTTTTTCCAATAAAGTCCATGAACTTGGCTCAATGTATTCAATAAAGGCACAACATAGTATATTGTTCTGGGTGTTTGTGGAAGGACCCGGTGCCTGAGCCAATTATAAGCCCTGTACTCCTTCCTCCCCCTCCCTTCTTGGCCCGCCCCCATCATCAGGACAACCCAGCTGCCAATCAAACAGAAGTGTTGGGCAGGAGGCAAGAAGGAGGGAAGGCAAGATGGCTGCCTGGGAGTTCTGCTGCCACAGGCCCCATGAGGAAGAGGCTGAATAAACAGAGCCAAAGCCCAGGAGCCAAATAAAGAAGCAAACTAAAAGATAGACTTGATGAGGAGAGGAAACAGGAAAGGAGGCAGCAACTGAGAAAACTAAGGGGAGAGAGGCATTTATTTCCTTCCCTCAGACTGGCCTGAGGTAAAAGTTTTTCTACCAGGTTCCCTCAGATTGAGCCAAGATTCAGAAGAGGAGAAGAGTGAAGAAGGCCAGTCAGGAACAAACAAGCAGAAAAGGCAAAGAAAAAATAAAGACAAGTATAAAAAACAGAAACCCAAAAAGATAAAAGTCAGACTGAACTCTGTAGAAAAAGGAGTATAGCTCAATAGAGATATACAGGGATTAAGTAACAGAAATAGAGAGGTCAGCAATAAATAAATTAGAAGTACAGAATAGAAAGATATGAACATATAGTGAAATCGGACTTTAAAGAAAATAGTGGAGATAAAGAGCTTATAGAAAATAGTTAAAATAGAAAATAGTTTTATTATTAAGATTCATTTCTGCACTAGCTGAAGGCATTTATCATTTACAATTCCTTTTTATTTGTAAGTTTTCATTTTGTAAAATAAGAGTCTCCCCCTGACCACTGAAGGGAGATATAAAAACCCAACCAACTGTCCAAAATTTCAGGGCTTTTGTGTGTATGGGGTTTGGGTCAATCTGGTTATTGGTGATTTTAAAAAAGAACCTGCAACAGTGTTGTTTGTTTAACCACAATTCCTTTATAAATAAAACTCAGATGAAGCCCTGATTACACTGTAGGTCACAATACTGCAAAATTACCGATAGTTCTAAAGGGTTCACCACTATGTGTTCTATTGATAGCAAGAGTTAAATTCTATCACATCTGGAGAATACCAGGATGGGGAAAGCTACACTAAGTCAGTATGCTTATCAGTTACTTAAAGAAGTGCCCATAATCATTTGTAAATAAAATGTCCAAGACCCTACATGGGTCCAATTAGAACCTGGAAATATAGGAAAACAATTGGTCATCAAATCAGTGGCAATTGCCTACAAATGGCTTATGGTTTAATGTACATTTTTCTTTGCTCCTAGGAAAATAAGATTTTTTTTTCAAAAAATAAAAGTTATATCCACTCAAAAGCACTTCTTAAATTAAAAAAAATAATAAAACCATCAACAAAAATAATATAAGCAATAATGGGATATAAGGAATCAGAGACAGACTTTTGGATTCTTTCTGTCATGTGTGAATCAACTTCTAATCTTTTATTAATACCCAGTCTCTAATTACAGATATTTGTGTGCATGTATTTTCTTGATTTTTTTTCCTCTACCTACTCTCACATAACATTTGGATGTTCCATATGCAAATTAAAAGCCAAAATGTTCCAAATGTGGCTTGTGAGTTTTCTGTTACATAAACTGTGTGTATGATTAATTATGCTGTCAGAAAGCTCCACTTGGCCCTGGTGGAATTTTTCTTTAATCATGGAGTGGGGGAATCTCTTTAAAGCTTCTGGTATTGGCAGTCTGAGGGACTGTAACTGGTTGTTCATGGCTCCCATTCAAAGTGTTTAAATAAGAATCCCAAATGCTCTAAAAAGTATGTTTGTAGCGTACATGTTCATGGGGATAAGTTTGGTTTGGTTTGGTTAAAATTGTAAAGCCAAATTCTTTTTTTTTTTCTGAAACAGCATTGCAGAATAAAGGACCTATCTGAAAATAAAAAGATACTATTATTCTGGCAAGCTTAACTTGGTTTAGATGTTAGAAATATGTACAAGATCAAGGAAACCAACTGAGCAAGAACAGAAAATGTGTTAATGCCACTGATCTCTGGCTCCACCTTTTTTTCCAACAATTGTTGCTCTGGTTTTATGAGGAGCTTGGTGATGTGGTTTGTGCTTCTGCACACAGAACTGTACATACTTGTAGTACAGCTAGAGATGATGGTAATTGTGATATAGGTCTATTTTTAGGCTACTGAGAAAGATAAGACCTCATAAGTGACCAGCAGGGACTGACTAACCCCAAAGCCTCCAGTGATATGAAGAGTTTATTAGCCTACCAGTCAGAAGATGGTGTGATGGTGGCAGATATTGAAACCTGAGTATGCTTCAGTTGCAATGAGTGTAAGCTTTAAGAATAAATTACACCTAAGGTGAGAGTGCATAGCCTTCAAGGGAACTTTCATTTGCTTCCTGTGTAAGAATATACTTATTCACTAATAGGCACTACTACACACCTTTTGGAATCTGGGGGCACTTCTGAAATTTTTGAGAGCATGTGATGAATTTACCAAATGGTTGCCATGGTAGACAGACCAGCCACAAATCATCAATTTACCATTGTCTTAATATTCTATTATCCCTTCCATCTTACTTTTATGTTTTGGGAGGAAGATTTGCAAAACAAAACACTGACCCAGAACTTGTTTTTCTAATAGGCTATGTGGTCCTAGCAGCAAATACAGGTGATTTTGGAGATTTGCTTTGCAATGTGTCACTTTCTCATTTAATTTCTTAAAAGAATTTAAAAACAAAGGACAAGGATGGCTATAGTATAAAGCACACTTTCTACTCTTGTGCACTGAGCTGTTTTGAGAATGTTGAACGCTATGATAGCAACATCTTTGGGATATAATTTATCACACAGAGTGGTTTTCTGTGGAGAAAAAGAAAACTGCCATCAACCACCTTTCCACTACGTCAAAGGAAACTGAGCTATTTGTGGGTTCTTAGAATTTAACACTTCTCAATAACATGCACTCAAACTATAAAAGCTATACCAATGTGCCGTGTATCAAGCTGGGTCACACTTAGCATGAAGAAGGATCAAGAAGACTGTATTGCTTCCATGTTATTATTTGCACCTGTACACTGCATGACAACAATTGCCTGAAAGATTCCGCAGCAAAAGAGCCAAACCAATAGAAGAATATAGAAAGTTTGCAGACAACTTATGACATTTGCATTCTGAGAAACTTCCACTAAAGAAATAGACCAGGGTTTCTCTGGAGCATTCATATGAATTGATGATCTAGTTGGAATTGAAAGAAAAATTCTAGTGCCCTGCATCACCTCCTTTGGTTTCTGAAGAGCTGGCTATGGTACAATGACAGGTGAGTACAACCCATTCTGGGTTAAATGAAAATATGTTAAATGGTACTGTCGCTAGACTGCTTTTTAAATAGGGAAAGTAAAAAAAAAAAAAATCTTCATGATCATATAAAAACTCATGGGCTGGTACAAGTATTGCCTATTATTGCATAGCAAAATTTAAATTTTATTCTGTACATGTTGTCGTGTGCCCAAGGGTGCTGCTGCTATTATTTTAAGTCATTTAGATCAGGTTTCTCCAATCTGATACTTTCCATATGTGTTGTGACTGTAACTCCCATAATTTCTAGGCTTTATGGAAAATTGCTTTAGACTAACACTATGCTCATTGGCGCTGTTCACAGAAGGAAAGTCAGCACTCAAAAGCTTACAGTGTGTATGAAAGGAACCAGTGGGATTGATACATTTTGTGATGGTACCAACAATAATGAAGTGGCAATCAGACTAGGGTACATCAAGAAGCATTCTGTTCTGCTGAATCTAACATAGGATTTGGATGATGATAAAGGATGTAGTTAAAAAGAGGCGAGCCATGAATGAATGTAGTAGTATTTAGGAATAGCACAGTGGAAGCCAGAGAGGCAGGAAAAAGAAGAGCAGCATGAAACTTAGTACTTTTTTCAGGAAACAGCCATTAATTTTTAACAAATTCCAATAGGAGAAGCAAATAGAGATGCTTTTAACACTGGAGATATTCCAGAACTTATTCATAGGATTATGCTAGTAGCAGCTAAAGTTTAAAAAAAAAGATAATTTTTTGCCAACACAAACCTTTCAGTATCAGTTATTAGGTTCATGCCTTCCAGGTTACAGGGCAAGAGGTTTCTTAGGCAATTCTCAGAAACAAAAGACTTTGAGATGGAAGCCATCTTAACTATGCTACCCTAAACTCAGTTATATAGCTCATATTGGCAGCGCTTTTTAATTACATGGGGAGAACATTTAGAATTTTTGGAGTACAGTAAAAAGTGCCCTTTCTAATCAATGTGAGATGTGCTTCAAGTCTACTAGATCCAAAATGTAAGGTTTCAACAAGCTCCCATATATATCTTATTCTCCTTATATACTGTATAGGTTCTGCATCTGTTCAACCCTGATGTAAGGCAGATATTCCTGAGCAATATTCATCATTCCATGCTGGAGAACTGGCCATCTTACTTCTTCATTCCTCTGTCTTCAGAGGTAGTTACTTCTTGTTTATGGTATGATTTTATACTAACTTTCTCTCTCAACACTAATAAAACATCCCCCTTAGAAGAACCCAGAAAATGGCAGTTGATTGGTTGTAACAGCATTTGGGTTCTTCCATATTTTCCTAACAGTCTTTGAGGACAACAATAGCAGAGCAAACCAAGGTTTATAGATTTAGAATGTAGAGCAGTGTTTAGTTTGGGAAAGGAGAAGGAGAAAAGTATTGCTATTGCACTTCTGGGTTGCAGCTACAATAAAAATGTGAATTTTATGTTGACAACCCTCTTCTGCCTTTTGTTGATAGACCTCTCTGAGCAATATACTAGAAGATTGCTGTTAGCAACATATTGTGATGGGAAGCTTGCCCAGTAAGAGGAAACGGATTGCTACCCAGACAAGCCCACAACTGAACACATGGCACAACCAGAGCTATAGCGTAAGCCTGCCAGGTAGGGGTTATCCCGTGCTACCACCAGTCTGAGTCCTGGAACCATTTCTTAAAAAGCAAAATAAATACACACATACATACATACATACATACATACATACATACATACATACATTCTATGTCTTCGAGTCAGTGTTGACAACTTGGTGAGTGCCTGGACAAGTCCCTGCAGTTTTCTTGGCAAGATGTTTGGAAGTGGTTTGCCTTTGCCTTCTTCCTAGGGCTGAGAGAGAATGATTGACCCAAGGTCACACAGCTGGTTTTGTGCCTAGGCGGGACTAGAACTTAGTCACCTGATTTCTAGCCTGATGCCTTAACCACCACACCAACCTGGCTCTCTACAACAGCAAAGAAGGAATTTAATCTTTATCTCCTTGGTCTATGCTTGGCCATATTGATTTTGGAGGAAAGAGGAAGAAAAGAAAAGACCTCCATATAGAAAAATAGGTGTTAAGGGGGAAATATTCATAGGCTTCTGGACATCTAGTTTTATGTACTGTATGCAAGAATTTATTTTTACACATAATGAAACAATAAATCATGTGACTTATTACCCAAAAGGTTACAGTCATGTGATATCCATACATACTAAGTATTGTTTGTGAAAATTATGTACTGTGATCTGGTTCTGTGTACCAATGGAAATGGAAGAATCTTTTTTTAGCACTTCCATGCTAGTTAAGTAGCAGCTTTCCTTATGTTTGATGGAGAAATGCTAAATCCTTGATTGAACATGAAGCTCATTAACAGCGTAAGTGTAATTCTGTGTTTAGTCTGCCTCACACTGTGGAAGTGAGGAACAATGTGGGATGGATGGTCCCACTTCCAGATGATTTCACAATTGGCCAACGTGGTCCTTGATGGGTCTATATTCACATGGAGGAAGGTATGCACTGGGGTATCTCAGGGTTCTGTCCTGGCCCCAGGATTGTTCAACTTTTTCATAAATGTCTAAGATGAGGGAATAGAAGGGATGCTCATAAAATTTGCAGGTGATATAAAACTGAGTGGGGGAGGGGATTACTAATAACCCAGAAAACAGGCTCAAGATTCAAAAGGTTCTTGATACCTGAAGATTGGGCCCTTTTCAACAAAATGTTGTTCAGTGGTGAGAAATGGAAGGTTCTGCACTGAGGTAGGAAAAAGTAGATGCACAGGTATAAGATAGATGGTACCTGGCTTAGAAGTAGTAATTGTAAGAAGCATCTGCAAGCCTTGACAGACCACAGACTAAGCATGAGCCACCAAAAGAGCCAGTGCAGTTTGGGCTTCATCACAGAGATATAGTGTCAAGATCACAGGAAGTGATAGTACTGGTCTGTTCTGTATTGGTCAGACTACAATATTGTGTCCAGTTTTGGTTGCCACAATACTGTATAAAAAGGATGCTGAGGGACTAAAAAAAGTGCAGCAAAAGGAACAAGGATGGTAAGGGGCTTGAAAATTAAATCCTACAAAGAGTGCTTAAAGGAACTTGGTATGATTAGCCTAAAGAACAGAAGACTAAGAGGTGACATGACAACCGACTTCCAATACATGAAGGAATGTCTTAGGGCAGAGGCCATGGATTTATTCTCCACATCACCCAAAGATAAAACGAGAACCAACGGGGGGAAGCTTAATGAGAGATACAGACTTGAAATGAGGTGTTTCCTGACTGGAGAGCTATTAAGCAGCAGAACAGCCTGCCTTCTGAAGTTCTGGGTGCTCCATCACTGGAGATTTTAAAGAAAAGATTGGACAACACTTTGTCTAGGATAGTATGAGGATCCTGCACTGGGCAAAGGGTTGGACTAGATTTTACAAAGCTTAATTGGTTCTCTGATTTTCTCTGACCTTCCTTGGAGAAAGGAATGTTGCATGGGTGACAAATAATCCCATTACTAATATAAATAATGGCCTGAGGCCAAGAGATGGTAGTTTGCTTCAATCTCTTTTTCTGAATTTGTGGCTTAAGTGAGGATTGAATAAGATACCTTGTTGCACTTTTAGTTTACAGACTGTTTTCTTCACATCTCTAGAATTCCATAAGCCTCTCTTGAATTGGGAGATATGTGAGTAAGGTAGAATAGAATTCCCCTCAGTCCAGTTCCTCTTTGTTCACTACCTTGCATTTAATCCTCCCCTCATTTTTTATTTATTGACCGATCTATAACAGTTTCTGTTTCATCTTTGTAGAGAAAGCTAGTTTGGTTTAGCAAATAAAGATGCTGGACTAGTCTTCCCTTAGGCACAGAAACCAGCTGAATGACTATGGGCCATTTTCTCTGACCCTAGACTGGGAAGTCAAAAAACATCCTGGAAGAATGTAGTTACACCAGTGATGAAAACTGCAGGGATCTGTCCATGTAGTTACCAGGAGACAGACTGCAAGGACCATAACCGTAAATTTTTAAAATAAAAGCAGAAGTTTTATTCAGTGGCATTGGTAGTGACCACTTCTAAAAACAGAACAGCCAGATCTAGTAGCATTCCTAGAAAATGAAATGATAAAATAAGTAGCAAAAATAATAATTACTAGTAGTTATAGCCATTAGGATGAGGAGTATTCATCATTAGTCATGGGTAAAACAGATGAAACAAACAGGTGATTAGTTTAAAAATATTTTAACTAAGCAGCTGAAACTGAAGTGTTTGAAGTAGACAAGATGAACTGCCCTAGCAAGGGAGTTCCACTGACAATGCCTGGCTTTCTTGCATCCTCACCAGAGTGCTTCAGCCACTGGGGGTTGGGGGTGGGGATGGGACAGTAAGGGAAGTCTTCTTTCTTGATCTCAGTAACTGAGTACATTTGTGTGAAAGAGATGGCTGTTTAGAATCCTGGATTCAAATTATGAACAGCTTTTAATATATGATGAAATGTTCCATCTTGACCAGAAATGAATGGGAAACAATTTGGTGTTGTAATAAAGTTGTTCATTGTTATTGGGAATTAGCTCCTATCAACACCTCAGCTTTTACATTCTAGTCTAGAGGAAGCTTTGAGGTAGTCTTAAAATGAAACACTTTGCAAGAATGCTTCAGATATTGGGAGGTTAAAAGTCACACATTAACCTGATTGGTGGTTTTTTTCCCTTTTAATTTGCAGTTGCCAGCTCCCCTATAGTTGTTGCAGTTGGTGATTTTCCTTCTGGGGACACGGAGCCAATACTAAGGATGGGGGAACAGCTGAGTTTGCTATCTGAGTGAGTATTAACAGACAAGAGGTAAAACACTTGAGATGTGCATCAAGCAGTGCAGTTACTGTTATGGTACCCATCAAGAGGGATATGTCCTGGAGAGGTTAGAGAGATCCCCACTGCAGGATAATTCCATATCTTCAAAAAATCCATGTTCAGGACTTATTTTGATTTCAGTGTCTACTCTGTATTAGCTGTCCAAATAATTGTGAGTTTATTGATTGTTGATTCTCCATTTTTCTTCTTTTTACATTTTACAGTATTTTTAATATAATGTTTGATAACTGATAATTAAAATTAAAAGCAGTATACACAAAATATACTGCTATATAACTAATAAAAAGTAAACTGGGAGTCCTTAAGGAGCTGGGCTGAATTATTTGAGGTCTCCTCTGAGTAGTGAGGAGGGCTAAGTCAGCCTTTCTCTACTTAATGTCCTCCATTTGTGTTAAAATGATAATTCCCAAAATTTCCAGTTATTGCCTATGTGACTGGTAAATCTGGGGATTGTAGGCCCAACACAACTAGAAGGTTAAACTAACCCTCCATCATTTATGCTTAAGGTCTGAATTCTTTGGTATTAATGTAGTCCCTAGAGAGGGATAATTGTGGAGTATTTTTCTCATGACAAAGCCTGTTCCCTTACTAGAATTTTAGAATAAAAAGGGAACTTCTCCAAGAAGTATTGCAAAATGTTACTTGAGGTCATGGCTTTAAGTTATATTTCTTCTCCCACAGAGAGGGTGAATGGTGGCAAGTCAAGTCAGTAGCAACTGACAAAGAATGCTATGTACCTAGCAACAACATAGCTAAAATTTCACACAGGTAGGCATTGTTGTTTTTCTTTATCTGAAGTCACATCACAGAATATTGGGGGCTTCTCTGTATCCCAAGAGATTCTCAAGCCTACAAGGGAAGTAGCTTCCCCCTTAACTTTCACAGGACCTTTTTCAAAGGCAACTGACCCTTGCAGTATTCTTGTCTTCAGGTGGCTCTATGACGGCATTGATAGAGCAAAAGCTGAGGAGCTGTTGCTGCTGCCTGCCAACCAGGAAGGTTCTTTCCTCATAAGAAAGAGACAAGTGAGGAAAGGTATGGATTCTATATAAAGGAATGTCCCAGTTCTGGAAGTGTGAGGGAATACAGGGTATTCCAAGCATCCAGAGTAAAGTGTCTGTAGGCTCTCTCTGCTTTGGTTAGTAGTACTTGTGTCTGCTTCCTGGCCTGGCCTGGCCTACCTCAAACAGCTGACACCTATAGCTGGATTCCACAAACTCTCTTTTCCAAGATGGAGCTGACAAACCAGCTCTGTTTCTGCCACTGTAACTTGTAAAGTGCAAGATGTGCCTTCTTCAGGAGATTTACAGTTGACTTGGCATTTAAGTTTTTGCACAGGAAATTATAATTTTGTTTTTTCCGTTCAGCTTTTTTCTGGATTTTAATAGTTTCTATCACTTTAGCTGTACTTGTTCTTATCATGTGCAACACTCTGAAACTGATGGAATAAGGAAAGCACACTTCTTGCAACAATCACAGGAAACTGTGGCATTGGTTTCCTTACTTCTTACTGAGGAGGAGGAGGAAGAAGAGGAGTTCCTTCCAGTACCTGCTCTCTCCCTCTTACCACAATTTTGGAGCTGGTAGTGACTGCTTGCCTTGCTTGGCATGGTCCTTGCCTTTCTAGCAATGATTTTAGGAGCTCTGGGTAGTTAGGCCTCTTTCTGTATATGAAGTTTGGCAGACGCCAAGCTGCAAGGCCACCCCCCACAACCATAGGAGTCCTGGAAAACAAAAAACAAAACCAAAAAAACCTGTGCCTATGTTAAAGTGTATTAAACTTCGGCAGTAAACTGCAGATGTTAGGCCACATATTTACCTATATAACCCTATATCTCAAAAGCACCAAACTTATTAAAATTAAAGATGTTAAAAGTTTAAAATCTTACTTTATAACAGCACTAGTTTTTTTCTTAAGTGGAGGTGCTCTTTGATTTATTTAAATGTGAAAATCCTCCATGCACCCTGAACTACTATAGCCAAGAAAAAAAAATGATGTGCCTCATGTCACTCTATTTCTTCTTAAAAGGATGAAATGAAAATTATGGACCCAATGATCAAGCTCTTACACCTTAGTTTAATTTTTTTTTTTTTTTTTGCAAAAGAGAATGGTTGGGAATTACTGTGCTTAAATTTCAACACAGGTATATGAAGTAGCTGAATGTTCCTCCTTCTTTCACACTTTGCCCAAACTTCTCTTGTAGTGGAATTCCTAGGAGGAAAGTGACCTTGAACAAAAGGTCACGAAACCAAATACTTGAAGAAAAGCGGCGGGGGGGAACGTCACCTTACAGGGCAACTCATGGTTACCATTTTATATGTGTGATTTTGGCATGGTATAGCTTGGATTAAATGCAATAACATCTAGTTAAGCTTTGAAATTGCCCTTCAAACTCTTCTTCATCTAAGACATAAAGCAAATTTTAAGGATGCTAGCTCAACTCTAAACATCAGAGAAAAGATTTAATTGCTTCCAAGATAATTCAATTAAACATTAAACATTTAATAAATCTCTGAGACAGCTGCAAGCAATATGGAATCCAGGGTTGGTAGTGGGTGGACTTGTTTCCTGTCTAAATATGCTTCAGATTGTTTTACTCTGATAAACAGGTTGCTACTCCTTATCAATCAGATACACAAATCGTGCATCCTGGAATTGTATAAAACACTACCGCATTAACTGTTTGGAGAACAGCTGGCTTTATATCTCCCCCAGCCTTACCTTCCCAAGCTTGCATGAACTGGTGGACTATTATTCTGGTAATTTAATTTTTTATATCATTCTAGATCAGTTAAAGAAAATGATATCTTTCTGAGATTTGCTTTACAGCCTGTTGGTCCAATAGCCAAAAACCTCCACCCCTTGGGGATAGGGTGGAAATGACAAAGGATGTATGTTGCAAGGATTTCACACTGCTGGCTTCTTCTCAGTGAAAAATAACTTATTTTGTACCACCATACTCTTGATTTATGTATAATTCTATATTGCCATTCATTTTGTAGTAATTTAAAACATGGAATCTGGGCAAAAAATGTTGATGACCAACATTTGGGAAAGTCTGTGTTATGTCCTGTTATAATGCCAACTTTTCAGAAACCTCCTATCAGAGGAGGGAATTTTAAGGTAATGGAGGAAGAAAGTTGTTTCTCAGCACTTCATGTGGTCTCCTGTTAATCTGACCTTTACTTGGCAGTAAATAGGTTATTCAGCCCCGTATTGGTGGACCAGTTCAGCTGTACTTGTCGGAAACAGTTCTGCCAATCGCTGTCTATTTTGTTTTGGGGAAGTCAGTAAGGAGTTGGTGAAAAGTCTTGGTCTGGACTCTGTTATGTAATCATGCTATAAGAATTATTTTAAAAGTTAGGTACTTTCACCAAGACATTAAAGTACACTTGTGTAAAAGAAGAGAGCGGGAGGAGCAACACAGTGACTGGTGCAGCTGTTTTTTACTGCAGTAGGCTGCCAGAAAGGCCTACTAGGGTCCATATGTAAACCCAGCATGTTTGTTTATTCTGTTTAACAGAAAGTAGTGATGGCTTATGTTGCTGTTTGAAGAAACCGTGCTTCATCCAAGGAACTAGTTCCAGCTTGTTTCATAATCTTTCCAAACCTGTGGAAGTGAAAAAATCTGCTCTCAACTGGCAGGAGATCAACAGGTTATTTTATTTTCTTTATATTCAATTTATACTCAATCTTTCTCTATCAAGAAACTCAAGTAGTATGGCTGGCTGGATTGTTCAAATTTTAGTAATAAACATACACTGTTTTGCAAAACCAAGTTTGCACCATTTAGGGATAACATTTATTTTGTTAGGCTTACATGCTGCTCCAATCATGTCTGATTCTGAGTGGCTTATGGACCTTCAAGACAGTAGTCACATTAAAAACTAAATACGATAATATAAAAATATGAGCAGCCAAACAATATAATTTCCTGGGCACTGAATAGCAACCCTAGCACATATATTCTGTCACTCTACATGTGAGACAAAGGAATTCCTCAGCCTCCAAAAGCCCACTGAAGCAGCCAGGTCTTAATAGTTTTAAGAAAAACTGATAGGCACATATAGACAAATCAGCTGAAACTCAAAACTGTTCATTCTGGACAAGTTGCAGCTTCCAATGGTCTTCAAGGGCAGCCTCATATAGAGTGTGTTGCAATACACCAGACAACAAGTATCAAGGCATGAGTGACTATGAGCAAGCCCTCCTGATCCAGGAAAGGCCATAACTGGTACACAAGATGGATCTGTGCAAAGGCCCTCTTAGGCACAGCTGCCACCTGCTTTTCAAGCCAGAGTCCAGGAGGACTCCAGATTATGAACTGGCTCTGCATGGGGAAACATGACCCTATTTGGAGTCAGAGGTGGAATGTTTCTGGAATCAGAGAGCTTCTGTACCCAAACCCACTCCATCTTGCTGGGACTGAGTCTAAGCTGTTCATTCCCATTCAGAACTTCACAGCCTCCAGGCATTGGGACAGAATTTCAGTCACATCCTCCGTCTGGCCCAGGTTAGAGATACACAGCTGAGTATCATCTCCATGCTGATGAAACCTGACTTTGTGCTGACAGATTACTTCCCTCAGTGGCTTCCTATAGATGTTAAATAAAGGGAGGCAGGCAATCCATGAGGCATTCCACAATAGAGGGCATGGCCTTTCAGTCCTTAGTACCACCAAATGGAACTGGCTACTTACGAAGAATAAGAACCACTGTAGAATAGTGTCCCCCACTCAGAATCTTTGTCAGTGGTACTGATGGACATGTGATTGATGGCAATGAAAGCTGTTGAGAGATTAAGCAGTACCAACACAGTTGTCGTTCCTGTTCCGTTTGCCACTGCAGCTCATCCACAAGAGTGATCAGTATGGATTTGGTTCCATATCTGGCCCTGAAAGCTGACCGGAAAGCGCCAGAGAATTAATTTCCTCCAGAACACTGCAGTGCAAATCCCATTACCCACTCAACAACTCTCCCCAAAAAGATTGGAGACTAGCCAGTATTTGTCTACAATTGTTGGGTTGAGCAATGTGCTTGAGGAATGGGTATACCACTGCCTCCTTTAAGGCAGATGACATCATCCTCTCCCCTCCCAGAAACATTTACTACTGCCTGAACCCAGCCTTCTTCACCTCCCTGGAGGCTTTCACTCACCAAGAAGGGCAGAGGTTGATATTATAGGCAGCATCCCCCTATTGTGGGGGAGATGGGTGGGGGAGAAATCCAACAACAAAATAAATAGCTGTTGTTGCAGAGGATTCTGTTCACTTCCTTGGGACCAAAAAAGGTCAAACTCATCACAGATAGCTTCACAAGATGTGGCCTTTGTCACCTTGCTAGGACCTGCCCAGCTACTGCCCAACTCAGAAGGAATCTGAATGATTTTAACCTTTGGGTATTCTGCAAATTCTTTACAGCAGTCCAACAAATAGTCTTCCGGACTCCAGGTTACTTTAAATAGGGCCTCTGGCTGGGACTCTGAGGTTGCAATAAAAGCACAGAAAGCACAGAAATATTGCTGTGTCAGACATTGTGTCGTTTTGTTGATTGAAATGTTTCTGTTGAAGCATGGCATAATAGTGTATATGAAACTTTTATGTTTATATCACAAACACTAATTTAAAAATCCAGGGTTCCTTTGAACAATCACATAACTGATTTTATGATATTTGAAATATTGTATTGTACATATTGCACATGCACACACATTTGAAATCTTTAGTCACAAAATATTGCACATGTTCATAAAAATCTGTGCTAAGTAAGATTGTTTCACATCATGAGAGCACACTGCAGCACATGTGATGTGTACTAAGCAAAACTTTCCAAACATTTGCCAATGTTTTTTAATGAATGTATAGTCAGTTCAGGCTTTCTTGTATCATGCATAATTCAAATTAATACCACACTCAGGTAATTTCATATATATGCATATACATGTGTAATGTAACATGCCCTAAATCTGAAAATGATTAGTATATAGTAGGGTTATGCATTGGATCTGGGTGAATATCAAGATGGTTCAAAGTGGATTGTACCAGATTGTCATAAATCAAAAAGCAAAACCCTAGTCCTCATCTACTGCTCCAAAGCTTAGTGCACTGAAGAGCCATGCTAAAAAGTAACGTTTTGCTGCTGTCTCAAAATGCCATGTTCAGAAGAGGAGATAGGAGGTCTGTCTTTGGCTGCCCTAATCTGAGCAAGTGACTATTGAGATCAGACTATCATCAGTTTCTGCAATGTACTGTCTTGGACAGGAGCAATTGGGACTTTATTATGTATATAGAGTCAAAGAGGACAGCGGTGAGAATGAGCCTGTGTATCCTTTAGAACTATCCCTAATCCTGCAATATAGGTAGTCCTTGAGTTACGACAATAATTGAGACTGGAATTTCCGTTGCTAAGCGATGCAGTCATAAAGTGGGATGTCACAGGACTGTACCACTTAGCGATGGCAATCCTGGCACTCCCTGTTGCTGTCGTCAACCAAGGACCCATTCCAATTCAAGCCATTTCACGCTTGGTCCCTCCAAGCCCTGAGCCTCTGTTCTTCCAAGGTAAGGGACTGCCTCCCTTTAACAACCCCCAACTGCCTATTCCCCCATCTCTGCCCTTTTGGCCACCCTGCACCCTGCCTTGCGGGGCGGCAAGCAGCCCCAGAACTGCACCCCTGCAGTCATAAGTGCGGGCAGGCTGCCAAGCACCTAAATTTTGATCACATGACTGCAGGGGCACTGCAACAACTGTAACTTTGGGGACCAGTTGTAAGTCCCTTCATTCAGCGCCACCGTAACTTTGAATGGTCATTAAGTGAGGACTTCCGGTACTGTGATTTACAATGTGATCAGATTCACTGAAGTCTAGTTCATAGAAAAAGAAATTGTGGCTATGTGAAATAGTGTACTGTGTCTTGTCTTTATTGAACAAATTAAGCCAATGTTCACTGTCTTTCTTGAAAAAACTATGCAAAACTTTAGAGTAAGCAACTGATGGATTCTCTCGTAACTGATGGATTTTCTTTTAACACAGTTTTTTCTATCTATTACTCAATCCCACATGTCACTGGGAAATATTTGGCCTGTTCCTCTTTTCAGAACTCTGTCAACTCGTTGATATTTTTTACTTTTTTGCAGAAACAGCTTCAGGCCATGCCACAAAATTTCAATTTTGTCAAAATTTGTTGACAAAAAATGTTGTCAAAAAAAAAAAAGGCTTTGACTGGGCCTTTCAAAAGCAGTAAGTGTCTTCCCTAGAAGTTGTAGATTTGTGTGCTTAGAATCGTTGTGTTGCATGACACATTTTTGTTTAAACTCCAGCTCATAGACACCTGTAGAATTTGCTGGTACGTTCCTGAATTCATTGCTCCCGCAAAGACTGTGAGCCATGTCTCCAAGCATAATATGCCTAACAAGGGTTGGGGTGTTCTTGTGTTGGAATGCCATGTTCCATCTTTTCCAAGTAAGCTTTTCAATCATGCCAAAAAAGTTCCACTTTCAGTTCATTCTATTTTCAGAAAATTGTTTCAGTCTGCTGCATTGTCCAGGTGGTCAGCAATGTGCTTTTTAATCTTCCCATGTACACCATTCTTCTTCAGTTTTTATAGTGAACTCATGAATGCCAACAGACAATGCAAGAGTAGCCTGCCAATCTTTAGCTATTACCTGGGGTTCTTTACTACCTTGCAGAGAATTGAAAGAGTGGCACTCCACATTCTCCATTTATACTCTATCTTCCTGATCATGGACTGATGGAGACCAGATCTTTCAAAATTAGTTTATAAACCTTTCCAGCCTTGTGAGCATCAAGACCCCTCTTCTGAGGTGTGTAGAGATCACCTTTGACTGGGGTATGATTCAGTTCCAAACACTTTGTGTTGTGAGGAACAGAACTGTGATACTGGCAACCATTGTGGTTTTTTAATAGATGAAAGCCTATTATTTAATTCTGTATATTTTGAATTACATTGTTTGCTGCCCAGAGTATGTATAGTTTGGGACAGATTATAGATAGAGTCAGTAAATAAATTCACACCTGATTCTCCTATCATTGATTGGAATACCCAACCCTATCTACCCTTAAGAGAGCTGATTATCCTGAGGCTTCATGTATTTTTTTCCAATAAAGACAGTGAATGTTGTCTCACACAGTATACTGTTTTGGTGGTGTTTGCTTAAACAGAATCTTTTTATTAATAGATGAAACTCTGATTACATTGTAAGTAAATATTCTATGGGATTATAGATAGTTCTATAGGGTTTATAAATTCTCTCTCATCACTGTAGGACTCCAAGTGATTGCAAATTCATAGAGCATTGCAGAAGTGACTAAAGCAAACAATGCTATAAAACAAAGTCATACAGTACAAGATGTTTGTTAGAAATGTTGAGGTACTCAGACAAATTGTTTTTTTGGATTCAGGCACTGGAATCTCCCTTACCACTAGAAAAGATGGCCTGTACAGGGTCAAAGTGGTGCTCTTGAAAAAAGAAAAGTTCCCCCTTCTTCTCTTGCAAAGGCTATCCTGTGCCCCCTCTCTAGCAAGTTGGAGCTGTACAGCTTGATGGTCCTGCAGCAGCAAATATTCACAATTAAATACATACACGTCTGAACCTAAGTACTGTATAATGCTATTCTGAAGGAATTGCATTCAGTAGGCTGTGAGGCTTTTAAAACAGGATCAAACCACTTCACCATGGCTGGATTCTCACCACTTTCTCAGAAGAAAAACATATCTCTGAAACAGATTTTTAAAAAATGGATGAGCTGCCTCAGTGAAAATGAAGTTCCATTTTAACATATCACACTGCAACAGAAGCAAATTAGGATAGAGTATCCCCAACAATCCCCAAGCCATTTAAAGAACCTTGATTCTGGTAAGACAGTCTGATATAAATTTTATATATTGCTTTATTGATAAAATATATTAATGATGGCTATCTTGCTGTTCTAATGGTAATATACCGAATCTTTAATTTAGACCTTGATTTAACTCAGCAGATGCAGGGGCATTATTCATTTTATTCTATGTTCTAGCACTCCTCTAATTGTTCCCATGATTTGTGGCACTGGCAAATTGAGAGACTGTGATTAACCCAATCATTTGCGTTTCCGTAGCTGAGGGTGACCTGACGTTGGGTCTCCTGGGTTGTTCAATTTAACCACTACTCCACACTGGTTCTGTATTACTTCAAGAGCAATCCTTGAGACTAGTCATTTCTTTGCAACTCCATAATCCTCCGTTGTAGCAGCAAGCATAAAACTACAGAAGGGAAATACAGGTAGTCCTCGCTTAATGACAATTGGGACCAGAATTTAGGTTGCTAAGTGATGTGGCCGTTAAGCATATCATGTGATCAGACTTTTTTGTGGCGGTCATTAACCGAGTCATGCGGTTCCTCATTGATTTTGTTTGCTAGAAGCTGGCTGGGAAGGTCACAGATAGCAATCACATGACCCTGGGATGCTGCAACCGTCGTAAGTGCAAACTGGTTGCCAAGCGCCTGGATCACAATCACAACTGTGGAGGCGCTGCAATGGTCATAACTTCGGGCACCAGCTGTCACTTTTTAGTGCCATAACTTCGACTGGTCACTAAACGAACGGTCACCAAGTGAGAACTACCTGTACTATTTCTGTTGCTACAAGGGAAGAATCAATGCCATTAGCACGAAGCAAGTTTCCCAGTGTACTAAGGCAGCATAGGCTATAGCTGTTTGTCAGTTTTTATGGGGAACATCATGTATTGTTTGGGACAAAATAAAAATGAAGTCATTCCAAGAAAAGAATACACTTTTTTTTTTAATAAGTGTTGCTCAGAAATGTTTTCTTCTATCTAGCTCAGATTTGTTGTCAGAAGATCCGTTAACAGAAGACTCACCCATCAGTCTTGGCTTGCGAGAAGCAGTTAGTACTTACCTGTTTATGACTGAAGACCTGCCATTAGGGGACACACCTAACAGGAAAGGAAGGCAATCCAAAGACATATAAAGCTAGTATTGGAAATATTTCTAGAATATGAAGCTTGCACACAAGATTTGTTGAATTTGCAGTAGTTTTTAATCATGTTGATTCAAGGTGTTTGTCCTTAAATCACTGTTATCATGGTACACTTTTCATCTTTTTTTCAACAATCTGGGCTCATTCAAGTATCGTGTGTGTGTGTGTGTGTGTGTGTGTGTGTGTGTGTGTGTGTGTAGTAAATGTATGTTTTACACTTGGTAACTGATAGCTGAGTAGTAATGCAAAAGCTAAGGTATTCACAATAAATCAAATAATTGTTTCACCCAGTTGCAATGGAGCATTAATGTCAACAGTTCAAGAAGCAAGGAAAGATACTTTTCCTGG